CCGTAAAAAACGCAATAAATGCCGACAATTGCACAGAATAAACGGCATTACTTTCACACCAACCAAAGCAAAAGCAGAAACATAATAACTAATGGTGTCGGTGCACAGTCAACGTGTCCACTAATCACTTAGCCCAACCCAAGCCCATACGGTCCAACAACCCGTATTATTTTATTACCCCATTTCTCCCTAAATCTCCCATGTCGTGTTTATTGTGTTTGCTTCTCATCCAAATCTCATTTCGTCATTAAAGGTCCATTTTTTCAAAACCACCAGTTAGAAATTCTCACCTATTTTGAGAGTTTTCACTTTTCTCTGAATTCATGGGTGAAAGATACATTTCCAGATGTATGTAAAGCTGCGCTACTAAACGAAATTCACCGCAACGACGTGTTTATAGTGCCTTAAGTGTTTTTATAAAATGGTTTCATCAGAGCAGTCCCACTATCAAAATTTCTCATTGGCCAAGCACGGTGGTCGGAGCAAAAATACTTCCTTCTATTCTGACACTCTTCTGTTCGCCGGCGGCGCTCTGGTGGCTTTTTTGGTTGTTTGGGCTTTCTGGTCCTTTTTCAGTCCAACCCCTGCCCCAGCGCCTAGTTTCTCTTACAACTCATTTACCGAACGTAAATCGGCAGGTTCAGAGAGTGTATCCGCCTCACCTTTGACGAGCTGCGCCGATGGTGCTTCGGGTTTTGACATGGTCCTCGACCCACCCGACCCGAATTTTTACGATGACCGGAAGTTGAGCTACAGCATAGAGGCGCCACCGGTTAAGAACTGGGATGAAAAAAGAATGGAATGGCTTAAGCAACACCCATCATTCGCCGCCGGAGTAGAAAATCGGATTCTAATGGTCACCGGCTCCCAAGCCACGCCGTGTAAGAATCCTATCGGCGATTATTTGCTGCTGAAATTCTTCAAGAACAAGGTGGATTACTGCCGACGCCATGGAATTGAAATTTTCTACAACAATGTGTTGTTCCAGCCCAAGATGTTTTCATTTTGGGCCAAAACGCCCACAATTAAGGCCGCAATGCTGGCACACCCGGAGGTTGAGTGGATATGGTGGGTCGATTCCGATGCCGCCTTCACCGACATGGACTTCAAGCTTCCACTGGACCGGTACAAGGCCCATAATCTAGTGATCCATGGATGGCCCAATTTGATCTACGAGAAGAAGAGCTGGACTAGCATCAATGCAGGTGTGTTCTTGATTAGAAATTGCCAATGGACAATGGACTTCATGGATGTGTGGGCCAGCATGGGCCCACAGTCCCCCGGCTATGATAAATGGGGTGAAATTTTGAGCTCAATTTTTAAAGATAAGATTTTCCCAGAATCAGATGATCAATCAGGTTTAATTTATTTATTATTAAAAGAAAAAGAAAAATGGGGAAATAAAATTTATGTGGAGGGTGAATATTATTTTGAGGGGTATTGGATGGAAATTGTTGGTAGACTTGATAATATTACAGAAAGGTACAATGAAATTGAGAAGAGGGAGCGCAGGTTAAGGAGGCGCCATGCTGAGAAGGTAAGTGAGAGTAATATTCCGGTGTGGGAGGAATACCTGAAGGATGCTGGGTTTGGGCGAGAGGGTTGGCGTAGACCGTTCATTACACATTTCACCGGGTGTCAACCCTGCAGTGGGGTCCACAACAAGATGTATTCTGGTCAGACTTGCATCGATGCCATGCAGAAGGCTTTGGCTTTTGCTGATAATCAGGTTCTTAGGAATTATGGTTTTATGCACCCGGATCTACTGGATCCTTCCACCGTGAATCTTGTGCCGTTCGATTATCCTGCATGAGAGTTCAGCTGCTACTATTTGTTTGTTTCAGCAAATGTATTTTGAATTTTATTTGTCTGCCCTACATACGTATATACAAGTTTTAAATTTAAGATAAAATTCAATTATCGTCAGTGTGATATTATGAATGAAGGATTGAATAATAGCTGACAATGTTCAAATAAGACAAAGAAAATAAAATTATGTTCAAATACTGTCGAGTTTCTATTTAGAATCACGTTCTTGAAAGGTATGAGTCATAGACCGACACCATGATTGGTCTTGGTCGTGTAGTGATGTGAAAATAATAGGATGGCTCTGTAACAAAAATATGGGGATAAAATTGCCAATTCATATGCAAAGCGTTAATCTACTTTCTTGGAATGCCCCAAATTCAAAATACTGTTCTTGGTTGCTTTTGCCTTTCAGCACTTTATTCCTTTTTTGCATGCTAAAAGGCTCACAAGCGTATCATAAATTTGGGATATAAAGTTGCATGATTGACGGAGGCCAATGGGTGAATCATCATATTGCATGCTTTTGCTTTACATAAGTATAATTACCATGACTTAATTATTCTTAGGCAGATTCTTAAAACTAGTACATTTGTACATGTACATGTAGTTGTAGGGTTGAAAAAATACGAAGTCGTCTTAAAAATTTAAAAGTTTGCATCCTTTTTAATATTTTTCTTTCAATGTAAGTTCTAGAAAATACTTGTTGTATATCATGATTTACAGGGTGGTGAGTTGTCAAAAGGAAGGTGAGGGAACTTATTTTTGAATTGGTTGGTGAAATATCACATTAGATGTGGGCATTATAACCTCTTGTCCACAGAACACTTCTGTGTCTTATGTAAAGTTACATAAACTTCCCAAACCGAGAGGAATCTAATTGATGCTATCAAACACAAGTACGGGTAATACGCTAAGTGAAGTAGTGAACTCCGGATGGATGAAGAACGATGGGAAATTGTTGTCCTCGTTGGTTTCTTTTCACGACTGGAAATGAAGACGATGAAGGATGTCATCCTCATTGTCTTCCATTACTTAAAATACAGGGATAGTGTATAGAATATACTTTGGATTGTATGACTACACGATTTGGGTCTCCAAGTTCTCGGTCCAACCATTGCTGCTAGATAACGGGCGAGAGAACGTGTTTGACGCCCAAGGTCTGGGTTACTACGGTTGGTCTTGTGGCGGTGAATCCTTGATCATGGGGTCATTCTTGGAAACTGGTCGAACTTGGGTCTAGTCCAATCTTTTACCTTATCAATAATATTAAAAGAAATATGACAAATTTGTTATATGAAGTTTTTGTCCCAAGTTTATGAGTAAGTTGATTATTACGGTAGTTGTCTGAATAAGACATTTCAGTTCTCAAAATCTTACAGATGAGAGAGAGAGAGAGAGCATGGTCATATTTATATTTGATAAAAAGTTCTAGAACGCAATTGGGTGTAGCGTCCAAAACACATGCTGACAATGGATAATATATGCCATTGTTTGAGCCACATTATTGGAATTAAAATGTATTTTTGAATAGTGTATTGATGAGAAATGTGTGGTTAAGAAATAAGGAAAAGTTTTGGATTTGCGTATAATATTATTTTATTAAAAAATGTGTGGTTGAAATGATGTCAAATCACTGTTGAAAAATATATTTTTTTTGAAAAAATTTGGTTCAAACAGGGCCTATGTGTTTATTCTTCCGTACTGTTGTGCACCGTACCTTGGTAACAATAATTTGAATTTTGGTTGTCCATTATTCCCATTCCGGCCACGGTTGTCTCTAGAGTAATATCTTTTTGCTGGAACTTTCTTTGGGGATCAATAAACCATTGGTTGCATGGAGTAATTTATGCCTTCTGAAGGTGGACTGGGGCTGATGGACATTAGAAGCTGGAACTTGGCACTCCTCACTAAAACGCTTTGGAATAATCATTGTAAGAAGGATACGTTGTGGATCAAATGTGTTAATTAGGTATAGCTACATGGGAGCAACATTTGGGTATATATGCCGAGGAAAGAGGACTCCCCTTTTATCGAAAAGTTGTTGGCAATAAGGGATTGCATTACAGGGGCCAAACAATCCACTCAAAGGGCTGTTGATAGATTATCTAGCTGGACTACTGGTGATAAATTTAGCATTGCAGAGGCATATGAACACTTTAGGCCTAAGGGAGTCCAGGTAATTTGGGCCAAAGCTGTTTGGAATGCATATGTAAAACCAAAGCATGCCTTTATCACATGGTTAGCACCCAAATTGAAGCTGTTGACAAAAGACAGGTTGCGGTTTTTACAGATTGACACCAGATGCAGTTTTTGTGCACTCACAAATGAGATTGTGGGTCATTTGTTTTTCAATTGTAGCTTCAGCCGATCAGTTTGAGGAATGATTCGTGCTTGGGTGGACTTTAGGTAATCCATGTCTACACTTCCTATCGCATTGAAAATGGATTAAAAAGGAAAGTCGGGGCACATCTTGGCATAGCAAGGTTAAACAAATTGCACTTGTGACTACTGTCTGCCACATTTGAATGGCAAGGAATAGGAAGATTTTTGAAGAACTCAAACCAAATATTGATAGTTTTGTTTGACGAATCAAAACACATTTATACAAAGTTATGTTTTCTTCGTATCCGAAAGTCTTGATTCAATTTGAATCCTTATCTTTGGGTGTTCAAATTGTATTATTGTTCTTTTTGCCGGGAATGCCCGGTGTAGTTGTATATGTACTTTGATATGTTGGTGTAGGGCCAAATTCCAACTAACACCAAGGTAAACCGGGCTTAGTTTCACCAAGAAAGTTGACACCACCAACGGGTTGAGACAACTCCAAACCACCACTACCAAGTTCCCACTTCCGGTTGCTATTAGTTGGACAAGATGAAGAACAATAATATGGCCACTAGAAAAGAACCACAAAGGTCACATAGAAGAGGAGAAATTGAGAGGAGAAAATCACAGAGAGAGATCGGGCATTCTTCATATGGAGGCCGAGAGGAAGGCCAAGAATATAAGCCAAGCAAGTGACCAAACAAGGTAAGTTAGGTTAGGGTTATTTAGTGGACCAAACAAGGCTCGACTCAAAAATAATGGGCTTCAAATTAATACCATAGCCCTCTAAGGAAATGGGACGAGCTGTGAACAACACTATTAACAATAGGTTGCTTCTAACGGTCTATAGGAATGTGGATTGGGTTGTCTCGATAATTGTGTCGATATACTAATCAATCATATGACTAAGACCGATTGATAATAGGATCGGGATTATATCATAGCCCGGGGGGTCGTTTGACAACAAATTGCCTAACAACATCCACCTTAGTGTCAAAGGACCTGCAAAAGAAAAATGTCTCCCATTAGTGACACCTCTAATAGAAAATCGATAAAATTAGAAATCATTTACTTGTACCAATATTTAGAAGTTCCTTGCAACTTCTAAACTTTGCCAGTGGCAATACCTTCGTCCCCATATCAGGGGGTTGTAGTGGATGTGGACCTTTTCAAGTCTTGCATAAATGTATAGATGACTGACTATCAGAATACACTACCACATAATCATTCAAGACACATAGTTCATGAAGAAGGCCTCTAAGCCATAGAGCTTCTTTAATAGCTTCAGTTGTAGCAATATATTCTGATTCTGTAGTGGATAGTGCAACAATATGTTGTAACTGTGATTTCCAACTAATACATGAATTAGATAAGGTAAACATGTAAGACGAAGTAGATTTCCTACCATCCCTATCTCCCGCGTAGTCAGCATCTACAAAACCCTTTAATTTTATACTTTCTTTATTAGCACTAAACTTTAAACCTACGTCACTTGCACACTTCAAATACTTTAATAGCCACTTTACCACTTCCCAATCTTTAGGGCCTGGATTAGCTATATATCTACTGAGAGTACTAACAGGAAAACCTAAATCCGGTCTAGTACAAACCATCAAATACATTATGGAACCAATCACATTAGAGTAAGGCACTCTACTCATGTATTTTACTTCACGCCCATTGCAAGGGGATTGTTCCTTTGATAAAACAAAATGATTAGCAAGAGACAACGTGACAGGTTTGCAATCACTCGTATTAAATTTCTTCAATATTTTGGATATGTATGGAGACTGATGCAAAAACAAAACAGAATTTAACCTATCTCTTTCGATTTCAATACCTAAGATTCTCTTAACTTTACTTAGATCTTTCATGTCAAATTCACCACTTAATTTTACTTTTATGTTATTTATCTACTTAGAAGATGATCCAATCAAAAGCATGTCGTCCGCATAGAGCAACAAAAACAGATAATTATCACCAGTCTCATTGTGTTGAAAATACAGGCAGTGATTAAATTTACTCCTTTGGAACCCTATAATGAGTACAAAGGAATCAAACTTCTTGTACCACTGTCTAGGAGATTGTTTTAACAAGGATCTTCTCAGAAAACACACATAATCAGGTTTTGATTTATCCTTAAAACCTTTTGGTTGATTCATGAAAATTTGTTCATCTAGCTCACTATGTAAAAAAGCATATCTTAATAGTGGTGTACTTAACAACTGGTGAGAAAAGTTCATTATAATCAACACCCTCCTTCTGTGTATAGGCTTTAGCTACTAACCTAGCTTTAAACTTTAGGGGTTCCGAGCTGTTAGTACCTTCCTTAACCTTAAAGACCCATTTGCAATCAACAATTGATTTGTTCTTAAGCCTAGGTACTAGCTCCCAAGTATGATTTTTTTTTCTAGAGAACTCATCTCTTCTTTCATTGCCTTAAGCCATTCATTAGATTGATTAATGCCTATATTGCCTCTTCAAAAGTCTTTGACTCTTTATCAGTTAGTTCTTCATAACTAGCCTGGGCGAAAGCTAATTCAGATTCAAAACCGAACCTTCTAGGTTCTCTCGTTTGTCTCCTCTCTCTATCCTTAACTAAGTTATAGTTAGTTAAAGGATTTTCTTCCTCATAGTGCTCTTCTGTCACTATTTCGTTACTATTCTCCACCTCGAGTTCCTGAGCTTGAGTCTCCACCTCATTTGAAGCAGTAGGGGCAGGTGGACTGAGTTTTCCTAACTCCACCTTAAATTGCTCTCTCTCTTCACCTGGTTTAGATTCACTCTCAGGTTCAGTTTCCCCTTTAATACATGGTATCTCATTTTCGTTAAACGTGACATCCTATTTATGATGATCTTAACCCCTTTTTGA